TTTCTGACCCTTCAGAAAACAGTATCAAATCTCTAGCTTTCATGAAGTTAATCATATGCAGATTAACGGATAGGAAAAGAAATGCACCTGATGAACTCGTCGTGTGACAGAATCGATGTTATCATCGTAGCCAATAGCTTAAAAAGATGTTACAACAATGAATTGCAAAGAATCATTAAGATCACCTCGACTACGAAGAGACAAAAGAGATTATTGGTCAATTATGCTCACCAATCAAACCTTCTTCAGCGCAGATCTCTTTTAAACGATTCCATTCCGGGCATACTATCAGCTCATCCACCTGAAGTGTGAAAGCCAAAGCCATAAATCAATTTAAATGAACTTTCGTTAGACAAAGCAGACTAGCGTAAGACCATGAGAGGAAATCTACAACTAAAAGAAGAATTCAAGACTATTTACCCTTCGTCCCCAAGCGTCATGCTGTTCCAACCTTGGTTGATTGAGTTCACATCGTCGTCCTAAGTGATTTATTTCAGCGACTATTCGATCACCAAATTGACTCAGATCCTTCGAAACCTTAACGAACAATCAATTACATTCGATGATTTAGGCAAATTTAACTGATCAAAAATATAACAAAAGTAGGAAAATTATTCTATTCAGTTGCACGAATCAAACTTACACGATCAAGGTGTTTTTGGGACACGAGTCTTCGTAAAGTCCTTCTCAATAAAGGGTCGTCGATGTAAGGATTGTGGAATGTTGGAGGGGTCTAGAAATTTGCGAATCACAACATTCAGTGGCCCATTTTCTGTTTACCTGGGTAAAGTCACCAATCTTGGCATGACGATATAGATCTGGTCCTGAAGACATCCTAAAATAATTTTAAGAGTAGGATAACACTTATAATTCGGTGTTGCTGAAATTAAATGCGGTTTGAGGGTAGCTTTAACTGGTTATTTTGACCAAACGCGTGACTTTCTGCATTGGCCTATGAAGTAGCTCACTTCCTTTCAATGTACTTTTGTAATAATTACTGTATTTTTCTTATTCCACATTTTTAGCTTTTTTTATTCCTATGTTCTTCAAATGTTTGCAGTAATCGGCGATATTCTGGCCAGCTAGCAATACAATTTTATCAGCACAGTAGATTATTGACGTTCCGTCGATGGTATAATGGAAATAGCGATAAAAATGTGAACATTTTTGAAAGGAATAGTTTGAAACGACATTCTTTGCTAAGACTGAGCCTAAGCACTAAGGCAAGTGTTGTTAGAAAATGCCCTGCTTGGCAGATACGGCGGATGCTAATCTTTCATAATTCAAATCTGCCAGAAGTCATTCTGAGGGTGCTCCGAAAAATTAAAAGAAATTGTTTTGTTGCTTACAAGAAGACATATACAAATCAAATTGGCCTTTTAAAATTATAGGTAACTCATGGATGAAGCATGAAGCAATTACATTTTGCCTTTACCATCAGCCGAACTTACTAAGGAAAAATTGCAAAAGTGAGGTTACAAAAAATTTTTTCGACAAAAAATAGCATGG